TGGTTGTCCACGTAGGCCAGAAAGCGTCTCCGCCAACTGGGAAAGGTGTTGGCGGTGCAATTAGGCGGGATTATAGGCACAGGAGTTCTGGCAATTGAACCTCCCAGAGGCAAACCCGGCACCCTAGTACCGCCATCATGACTCACCCCGCCTGGCCACATTGGCCTCACCGGTGCAGATGAAGCCCCTCCAGGAGCAACTAGACTGTCGCCTCCTGAGCTGCTGCTGGCAGGTGCACCCGCAGACCGCCGCTGTGCTGCGCTGAGCTCCTCCGTCTCAGCTTTGGCCTCCTTCGTCTCAGCCTTGGCCTCCTCTATAGCTCGTAGCGTCCAACCTCGCGCTCAGAGTTGCGTCCTCCTCCGTTCCAGACATATCAAAATAAAACTCTAAACCCTTCCTGCTGTCCCAGCCTCGAAGTGCTGTCCCAGCTATAAACCCTGCTGTCCCGGTCCCGCCAATGGCCACCGCACCAGCTATGCACTGCTGTCCTCGCCCCCTTTGGCCGCGATCCAAGCTATGAAAATGGCGTCCGCTGCCCCGATGGCCCAGCTCCCACGGCTCAGACGCCAATACCCACTACCAACACCAGGCCTTACAATATATTGTGTTTGGGTGCGGTAGCTCGTCAGAGGCCGAAAGAGAAAGAAGGTTGACTCAAGACCTTGTTGCTTAGAGAGTAAGAGACATGCGGTAGGCCACACCATCGCCATGCAGCATGTCCGTCAATACATTCCATCCGTGTACCTCCCGGAGGCCCCGCAGACAGTATACTCTGCCGAGCAACCCAAACAACAAAAAAAAAAAAATCAAATAAAAACACGATACATAATAAAAACACCATATGTATGCAAAGTTTTTCACGTTCCTCCAGCTTGCTTGGTCTCCCACCCTTTCTGTAGTGTTGCTAACCCGCCCATGGGACACCGACCGTGTTGTTCCCATGGGCGCCAATGAGTGCCCTTCAACCGGAACCAGTGGCTAAGTTCTAGGTTGAAGTGCCGATGGCGAAGTTCTAGGTTGATATCGTGGAGAGTTCTAGTTAGGTTAAAGTGCCCACACGGTGGGCCCTTCGTGGGCAGCTCATGGGCCCACCTATGCCATGGGCCCACCCATGGGCGGCGGTTATTAAGCAAAACTGCCAGTAGTGTGGGAGGTCTGAGCTTGCTCCAGCCGTTTTTTGTTTTCATCCTACATGCATTTTGCTGGTTCGGTCTGTTCACACCTTTCGGTACAATTGGAAGTATCACCCGGGGGCGGGGTCACACAGGAGTCCTTTATCCGTTTTCCTTCTGCCGTGTTTGCCTTTATTTCAAGTCGAGCGAGAAGGATTCAGCCGTTCCTTTCATTCCTCGATGGTGAAGTCGAATGTTTATTTGTGCTCACTACTACACTACTGTAGATACTCGCACGGATTGAAACATGTGTTCAGTGTGTTTGCGAAGATTCAATAATTCGACTTCTTCATGGTCGACGAGCGAAGGGGACGGCTGAATCCCTCTCGCGGCGATAACAATAAACTAAGGCAATACATCGTAGAAGGAAGGTGGAAAAAACACTATCATCGCTCTCCGCACATTAATTAGTGTTTGGGAATATCGTGATTAAATCCAACCAGATTCGGACCCAAAACAACAAAAAAGCTAGGGTCGAACCCACATACATTTAAACATGTATGCACCAACTGAAGCAGCACCTGGGCGACCGGCCCTAGACAATGACCGGTGCTCGGGCCTGTCTGCCATTACCCTATACTTTTCTTTGATGGGTATGGCATGGGCGGTCCAGGTTTGGCACGTCGTCTGCAGTAGAACGCCTGCATACCGCAGCATCTCATCCTCCTTGGATGGCGTAGATACTAACCAGCCTGTCGACTCCAGGTTCCGCTGATCGGTGGGTGTCGAGCCGATCAACGACCCTGATGTCGAAACATGCATAGATGCACGCAACCACGTCGTCCAGACCCATTTTGGAGCTCTGTGCTCAACGTATGACACGAAACAAGATTTCCAAAACAGCCCCTCGAGGGGCGCCGAGTCGTGGACTTAGTGAAATGTCCCGGCAATAGACACAAGAAGACTCGATCGATGTTCCCGGCGGGGTTGCAACCCTTTCCGGTCTATGATTGCGATAAATGCAGGGTCTTACAAAAGCTTGGACAGCTTTCTGCAAGCGTTGAAGGCGTGGAATGTCTTTGGTGCGATGTGCGTGGAATGGATTCGATGAAACGGAAGATCTGGTCTGTGGTTTGTAAGAAAGGTATCAACTCCGAGACGACGGGTAGCCTCTCTATGACACGCACAATGAGCATATTGTGGTGTGTCGAGTTTCATCGGAGCCGTTGTCCCATCCCTGAGGTGTCGCATGCAGTCCATAAACACCCATGGACGTGACCCCGCGCCACACCCACAAGCCTGCCCGTACATGACGCCATGCTATATAACCTTGGTGTCGATTTTCCCTTCTCGCTGGTTTCCTAGCGTTCCGCTCGGGCTGAATTTCTGAGAGCCAATAATTCGTATCGGTGGTTTCGAGGTGCAAGGTACATCTCTCTCAAGATGGGTGTGAAGGTGTCCAAGTACCCTGATGCGCAATGCTCCGCGCCTGGGTGTGGCGCGGCCTGCTGCGACTCCGGTGGACATCGTGTTCGACAGCCGCACAAGTCACGCGTCTGCTCCGTCTGTGGTCGGTGGTACTGCGGGGAGCACAAGAAGGAGTATCTGAGAAAGCGGCGCAAGGATCAAGGAATGGGGCAAACCTACAAGGTGTACAAGTGCCACAGCAGTTGTGTCGGAAGATCGCGCGATAGCTCCAACAGGCGCTCCTGACATGCTACATTCCGCTCATGAGGCATGCTTCTAATGTGACAGTAGTCTACGCAGGTTTTCTAAGTAAACAAGCATATTGGATCAAGAATAGAATCAGCTAAGTTTGGGTTGGGGTTCGGTTTCGGGTTGGGGTCTTCGTACCCCCTGCCTGGTCGTTTTTCGTAAAATACAGAACCGGCCCGCACTTAAGAACCTCTTATTTGGAGCGAGGCTCGCTTCTTGTTGGCTGCCCCAAGCCGAGCACAAGATCTTATTTGCCAGGTTCTTATTTCGTCGTCCAGTTGTCTCCAGAAACGGTGTTCTTGTTCTTATTTCATCATCGATTGCTCAATTGGTGCACTACTCAACTGCACTCGACGCAGAGTATCATACCCGCAAACACCCCCCATGGGGCAACTGTCAACCGTCTTGGTCCACAAGAGTGACGTTGGGGGTGCGTACCCTTCCCGTCCTACTGACGCTCTTAGGCAAAATCCATGCGCCTACCGCCGCGTCCGGATCTCCGCTGTACTTGTCTAAGGGCAGCTTCATATTGCGCGTACTGTGGTCTACATCCAGCTGCACACAGTAGTCGTACAGGTGGCGCTGCGGAGATTGCTGAATGATCAACCCACCGAACCACCCCATGCCCAGCCGAACAAACACTCCACGTTGCAAAAGCAATCTGTCAAGAGCAGCGGGGGTAGATTCTTGAAGGCGAAAGCCCGCCGGGATCTCCATTCCTTGCGTCTCGTCCTCCGGGTCGTCTGGGTCCATGCTGTCGTCCTCGTCCAAAAGAGCTAGCTCGTTGGTCTGGGATTGAGACATGTCTGCGACGACGGGTACCGTGAAACACGAGAAGGAATGTACGGGTGTCATCGCCGTTACTCAACTGAAGTGAACACACCATTTGTTCGTAGACGTGACGCGGAAACAGAATATCAGCAATATCCCAAACAGCACAAGAGAAGATGAGCAAAAAGGACAATGAATTTACTGTAGTCTATGTAGTGCCAATCAAACTTACTGTCGTCGTCTTCATCGCTGTATCCAGCGCCCTCCATGCCCTCCCCGCTGTTGGCACCGTTGCGCTCATCCCCGACGACCGGCTCGCGCCTTCCGGCGCTTTCCTCCTCCCGCCCCTCGGGCCCATCGCTGCCGTCCTCCGAACCTCCTTCGTTCTCGCTGGAGTCTTCATCGTTTGCGAAGGTGTACGGCTGGTCCAAACCCTCCAAGGTGATTCGATCATCGCCTGAGCCGTCCACGGTCATCGCCATCCCGCACTTNACGGGCCCATCGCTGCCGTCCGCCGAACCTCCTTCGTTCTCGCTGGAGTCTTCATCGTTTGCGAAGGTGTACGGCTGGTCCAAACCCTCCAAGGTGATTCGATCATCGCCTGAGCCGTCCACGGTCATCGCCATCCCGCACTTTTCGAAAAGGCGGTGTCGGTACCCCTGATTGCTGTTGAGTTTTGCCATGGCCGCTCCCGTCCATTGAGTGATCAGTACGCGCCGGTCAGATGCTGTCAGCGACGCGGTTTCCCACCTCTCGATGTTGTCCGACTGATCGAGCCACTTGTCCATCTCGTTACCAACTTCCACCTTGAGAAATCGTCCGGCTCCTGCATCAACTGGCTGCACCTCGTCCGTGCACTCCGCAGGGCCAAGCCAGGCGATAGTGTTGCACTGCTTCGCAAGATACCCCTTGAACTCGTCCGTGGTCTGCGCGTGCAAGTTGTCCATTATCAGAATGGACCTCGCCTTGGGGAGCTCACCCCGCCCGCGGATCAGGCCTTCGCGGTACGACCTCTTGGCCCACTCCATGCAGAACTTTTGGTCCGCCCACGCATTCTCCTGGAAAAACACGTCCACGTCCTTGTGGTACGCGGCTTTCTCCACCGGCGAAATCCGCTTCCCCTGGCCTCGGAAAATCACCGAAATCCGCATAGTCTTCTCACCCGGACCAAAGATGACTTGCATGGTGCACTGCCTTTTCTCTAGGCCAGCAAAGGGCTGCGAGATGGCTACACGCAACGCGCCTGTCTTCTCCCACGTGCTGATCAGCCCGTTCACGAATGGCAAAGGCACTTGATCCACATTCCAACGCTCCCAGAGCTGGAACTGACCGTACTTGGGATCTCTGGACTCTCCCTCCGCGACCGTCGACATCGCCGACACGTCCGATGCCTCGGGTGCCCTGTACCGTACCGGCTCTTGCAGGAGCTTGCGAAACCGCCGGTGGAAGCGCTGGATCTTTGGTAGGCGCTCTTCAACAGACTTGTTCTTGAGGTTGCTCCTGCGCCGTTTGGACAGCTTATGCCTCTTTGCCCATTTTCGTGCCCACCTGAAGGACGCGCTGAACGCCGCCGCCCGTTGGTCCTCAGGGTGATTCTCTTGCACGAGCTTCCGGAACGTGACCGTCAGCCACAGGGTCGACACCTTCAGCTTCCTCCTCCGCCGCGCCAAGAACATATTGTACAGCTTCTTCTCTTCCTCAGGAAACCACCGCTTTGGCTGCTGTTTGGCAAGGAGGGTCTTCTTCACGTCATCTGCTGCCGATTGGACTATATTGGCCTCGTCCTGAGCCCACTTCACGATCAGGCTGTAGTTAACCTTGAGACGGTCCTCTAAGTACTGGAGAGGCGTGAGCTGCTCCTCCTTGAAGAGGTCTGCGGCGTCTTCCTGGAGGAGGCGCAGCTGGGTCACAACATGGGCTTTGAACCTGAAATCGTATCGCTTGCGCTTCACAGCTCCACGAGTCTCCTTGACTTTGCGGTCCGTAAAGCCGTCGCTTTCCAAGTCGAGATCGCGGAAGCGCTTCCGTTGGAGGACGAACGAAGCCGCCCCCGTCGCACCATCGACCTTCACGTGCCAACAACGTCCAGGCCCGGCTTCTCCCCACGGCTGAACATACCCTTTGGGAGTCTTCCCTAGCATCCGCTGCAGCCGCAAGCCGTTGGACATGTTTGCATTGCTGTGCTGTGTTTTCACGTGGATCCCAAGTCCTTGCTCGTTCACGAAGGTCATGGGACAGTGAGGGCACGGTATGCGCCGCTCCGGGGCCGGAGGTGGGAAGTTGATACCGGACACATGCTCTGTGACACCACCGCGAGTCCGCTCAATCTGCACGGCGCGGTAGGAGAAGGGCGGAATTGAGGTGCAGGTGATTCAACGAGCTGTGGACCTGAAATTGCGTGGATGTCGATGGCAAAATATATCTATCTATGCAGATGGGGCAAGGGATGATTACATGACCGTCTCTCGTGTGTTTGTATCACGGTGCAGCAAATTTTTTTTTACAAAATACGGTTGGGACGGCGCTCGTGTACGCGTTCTTTTTCGCCATTGTGTCTACTGTACCGTCCTTGCCTTCCTCAAGAACTTGAGGCAAACGGAGAATGTTTGAAAAAGTTGTACACATACATGTACGCCATGCTGAAAGTCAGTCGTTTACACCAACCTGTGACAGAGTAGTTTTTCTCTCGTCTTTTTCATTTCATCACCACCGCGTTTTTTTTTAAACAACAGCAGCAGCAGTAGCACTCCTGCTGTATTTACACTACATACAGCTGCTGGACCGCCGTACGATTGCTGTATATATGTACATCATCACAGCAACAGAGTTCGTCAGATGACTGAACTCACCGGTTTTCCGCTGCCACGAGCGAACGCGTTGATGATGTTGCCACCTAGAACACCTTGGGCAGCTCGATCCCTGGCTTGCTTCCACCGATCTGCGACCTTTCTCTTCCCGGCAGCCGCAGCAGTAGCAGGCGGTGGGTGCGAAGACGGTGCACCTCGCGCGCCGCCCGCATCTTGTGGCGTTAAAAACGACGGACGGGTGCTGCTGGTAATACCCTGGGCCTCTCCATCAATCTGCGTGATCCACTCTTCTTCGTTGAAGACACCCGTCTGCTTCAGCCCCCATGCGTTCTCGATTGCGTCCCATCGCTCCTTCGCAACGGAGTTGCCCGCCTTCACATGTGCCTTTATCGTCTCGAAGTGACGGTCAAGAATCAGTCCTCGTTGTTTCAACTCCGAGAGTTTGCCAAGGTCCTTCAACAACCCATGGGATAAGGGGTTGGACAGGGACATGATCCCCCTGCACGGCAGGCAACTCGTGGCACGCTGCACCACGTTGCGTGGTAAATTAAAAAAACTCGCTGGCACAGGCACGACGTGTATGTACAGCAAAAAAAAAAACTAAAAAGGGATAGTCTAGGTAGGTACCAACTACCAAACCTGGGAACGCCCCCCCCCCCCCCTCCTCCTCCATCTGTGTATGTTCTTCTCTCGCCACCGCCGCGTCATGTGGTATGTTCTTATCTGTAGCACCAGTCGTACACCTACGTCACTGGAGGTTTTATTCTTAACAGCAGGTCCGATCTGAGCACGTGTTCTTACGGGCAAATTCTTAAAAATTGGATTTTTTGAGGCTCAAATTCTTAACGTCCATATTCTTAAGGGCGGGCCGGTTCTGTACATATTTTTTGGCGTAGGCAGTCCTCGTGTGACAGACGGGAGATGTTGCCGTATCGTATGATCGGTGCTTGCGATATCGCGGAAAGGCTCATACGAAGAGCATGGTGTGGTGTTTGTTGGCAGAACTGAAATATTTCATCTACCTCCACCATTAGCCCCCGATGCAATGGCCAGCGTCAACCTACGCAGCTGTGGACTTCGTTGCAATGAAGAAGTCGAGCACTTTTCTTTGCAACCATCGGCAGAAGTTGCTTGTTGTGTGGCCGCCTGAACGAAGGAGAATAAAAGGCAAGACGAGCGGGTCGCGTGGGAGGGCAAGGGTAGGGTTGATAACTGCTGGTGGTGAAATGACCCAACGCTGGAAAGGGAAAAATACATTTTTTAGTGTTTTGGGTTGATTTATAACATGTGTCCCGACCGGTCTCCCAATGGTCGCGCTTTCCCCACGACTGTGCGTATGTGCACTGCTCTTCCTATGCAAAGTTGACAATGTGGGGTTGGCCCATGCTGCTGGAACACTCCTGTGTAAAAAAAACGCTGCCGTTCGTACGTAGTTGAGTCCGATCTTCTCTACAAGGGGGGGAAGGTTAGGGGAGGGGTGGGAGGTAGGAGGGATACCGGATATCCAGCTAGTTAGAGTATCAATGTAGAAGATGTGGATACGTATGCGTGTGTTGATATGCCAGAGCTGGCTGTAGACAAGTACACATTATCAGCAATGGAAGACAGCGGTGGTGCAGGGTCCAGACTAAACAGGGGGATCAATCATCACCATGCAACTCGTCGGTGTGTGCCGATCATCTCTTGTAAATCAACTGTTCCTTGTTGTGTGGATCTCAAGACCACACAAACAGCGTCGATTTTACTCCTTGCGGAAGGCGTCGAGGGAATGGCGGGTGTACCTCGGCCGAGTGAGTGTCGGCGATAACCTTGTGGACCACCAAATAATATCCCGCAAACCCACTGACAAGGATGTTGCGCTGAGACCACGCAGCCCCTGGACGCAGTCGACGAATTCTAGCACGATGCGCGAAACGCCTCCTTTGGATCTTGAGAACGGACGAGATTGAGGCGCTCTTTGTCTGCATCTCCGAACTAGAAAATGTATCGACTGGCGTGTATCTGCCCCCGTCCAAGCGGAAACGAACTCCCTTCCCCGACCCCTACAACTACAACAATGGGACTAGTGCTTGGTTAGTATACCCTCCCAGCATCGCCTGTAGCCCCTCTTCTTACCATTCGCCATCCCACCTTGCACTTTCAAAAAGGATCGGACGAAACACTGTTTCTCAGACCATGATAGCTGGCGGTCATTGTTTTGGACCTTGCACCCTCCGGTACCTTCTGAGTCGCGCTCAAACCCTTTGTCTGCGTTACGCATTCTATTTTCTAGTCATTGCATCCGGATGCCACACTCAAACTCGCACTACTGCCGTTGCACCCCCTCCCCCCCCCCCCCCCCCCCCCCCCCCCCCCCCCCCCCCCCCCCCCCCCCCNCTGTTCGAGGTAGCGGCATGTGTATCGACAGAACCGTAAACAGTCTGATTGGATAGTTTGAATGTCGGGACTGTCAAGCTGAAGAGTCGTTGTATTGCCACATATCATGAGAACATAGTGGAATGTTCTTGGTCCTTTCTCTCTGGCTATAGGAATGTTCTTCGTGGATAGTACACTAGCCCGAGGATTTGTGATACGTAGGAAAGTGCATTGGTCCGTTCCATGCATCGGTCCGTGTTCGGTGTATATGCGTGATCGGGCGGATGCCCAAGCGTGATGTTGCTGGGATGCTGTGCACCCACCCAGCTCACTCCACCTTTTGACCTGTTCTCCTGGTCCAAGGTCTCATCAATACAACATCTTTTCCCCAGAAGCCACGAGTTTACCAACACGCTATAGCGAAATCAGTCGACTGCTGCTTGTCCCCTCGGACTGTACGTCAAAACTGCAGGGAGGAAGATTGATCACCTTGCTTCGTGATGAGTGGGTCTGCTGGGGATAATGTGGATGACCCATCTCCGGGTGATTCGCAGGATGCTATTGGTGGTGAGAGATTGGATTCAATTGAGAAACAGTTGTCCCAGCTCACGAGCATAATCAAGTCGCTTGTTGGGCAACGAGGTGATCAGGTGGAGTCCTATGTTGGTGCTGCTGCGCCGGGAAGCAGCGGAACAGAGTACGGGGTTGGTGCGCATCAATCAGATGCAACCAGTGGGACTGCGGGAGGTACGGGCGGCGATGCCCCAGTCCTTGGCATGTCCAGCGTTGGGGTTGGGAGTGGTAGTCCTGCAGGCGCAGGCTCAGGCTTGAACCCTAGTGCAACTGATGTAAATTGGGTTGGGATCAGTGGTCGCTTAGACTCAGGCTTGAACCCTGATGCACTTACAGTAAATCGTTCCTCTGTTGGTGCCGCAGACTTTGGTTCGATCGGAATTGGGAGTGGGGCATCAGGTAGCCAGTCTGTCATTCCGCCCCCGTCTACTCCATCGAGTGAGTGGTGGGGACATGCCGCCAGTGGAAACACACTGATCCCTAGGGCCGGCATTTCAGACATAGGAGAGAAGTTGGGTAGGAGCCCTTTTAAAGTTCCCATAGCTCCTGTTGTTTTTGACGGGACTGATGTTGTCTCGTATCCGTGTGGTCAAAACATTTTCGGCTGGGTGCCCTCCACAATACTCTGTTTGAAGCATTGTGTGTGTGTCTACAAATGAGATTTCGATTGCAAGCTTTGAATTCGACTTGACCCCCCCGGTACAGCAAGGATTCAGTGTGGATGTGCTGCGCCAGGCAGAAAAGAGAACGGTGAGAAGTCTGACATGGTGCTATTTTCTCAAACCAGATTGAACAACTCGCATGATCTCACGTGTCTGGTAGCGTATTACAAAGTTATGCTGCTGGAGTGCTCGTCAAGTGATGATGCTGTTCGCAAATATATAATCTTTTTCTTGTGAGGAAGGACAGATGTGTCGAAGAATGGCGTACCGGACACGGTTACTGCTTTCCACATGACAGACTCTCTCTCTAGCATTAAGGATGTGAAGTCTTGCTATTAGAACGCATGAGGGATTGATGGCGTTACTTGTGAAGTAGGCCGTCTGGAACCCTGGAGGAAGTGTTTGTGATTGCTGACAGCGAGTGTTCAGTAGAGTTGAAGGTTTGTGCAACCTCTTTTCTCCCAGCGCAGTGTTTAATGGCAAGTTATGAAATAGCTTCGGTGGTCTTGATGGCATGATGACTACTTCCGACAGAACAGTGATTTTTCAGAACTTCGATGGCATGATTGTTGCTATTGCGTATCGTCTAGAGAATAACTCTGTTGGTTCGGTGTTAGCTGCCTTCACCCCTCAAGACCCCAAAGCAACGAAGATGGATGTGAACGAGTTTCATAGCGTTTACGGTCATCCACATGAGGGATTGCTTCGTACAACTCCAAAGCGACCGGGCATTGAGTGGACTGGTGAAACTCATGCGTGTACGGGATGTTCGATATCGAAGGCATTCAAGGGTTTGCTTATGAAGCTTAACGCAGATATGACAAAAGGTTGGGCAGAGTTTTTGCAGACCTGGGAGGACGGAAGGACGTTGCGTCCGTAGGGGGTAAACTTTACCCCATGATAGTGAAGGATGATTTCTCGAGACGTACATGGCTGTATTTCCTGAGAAAAAAATCAGACGCTGGGGGTGCTTTCAGGAGTTTCCTTGTTAGTGTGCGTTCTGATGAAAACCTACCATCATTGGTTGAGATTGTTAGATCTGACAATGGAGGGGAGTTTTTCGGAGGGGAATTTGCGTCAGTGTGCAATGAGCTCTTGATTAAGCAAGAGTTTGTTCGTGCGTGGAGGTAGATTAGTCGGATTGTACCAAATCACTGGCGGTTTCGTGTACCGCAGATGGGATTGCCTTGAGGGGCGACTAGGAGAGACCTTGAGATACGAGTTGCGGGCCCCCTTTTCGACTGGCTTTGGGCCTGGCACTCTTCCTCCCTCCTTCTCCCTCATGTCCCCCTACGATAATACATGCCGTTAACAACACTCTTTGGACTCTGGAGGTCACACAACAAGGGCATACCAACAGAGTTCACCCCGGCTTACAGTCCACAATACAACGGTGTTGCAGAGCGCGGTTTGGGGTTGATTGAGGCAGCTGCAATGGCGGCTTGTATTCAGGCGAAGGTTTTGTTTGGGCATGTGCAGTTACCTAAGACCAACAGACTCTGGGCTGAGGCCATGCACTGGGCTTGCGAAGCACTTAACCACACAGCTTGTTCCGCTAACCCAGACAGCAAGTCCCCGTATGAGATGTGGTATGGCGAAGCTTGTCCTGCTAGACCGTATCCGTCTTTTAAACCGGCTTACTGTAGGTGGCAGCGACTGTCTAAGCTGCTGCCGAAGGGTGAGGCTTGCTTTTATGTCGGTCCTTCGAGAGACCACCCGCGTGACTGTCATAGAGTACTTACGAGGGCAGGGACTATTCAAGAAACGAGGGATGTGACATGGGAGGCATTGCCGTCACAACTCCCTCCACCACAACCATCTCTCTTGCCGATAAAGGTAGCAGGGAAGGGAGGGGAGGAAAGTCACGATGATGCACAAGTCGAGGTACGGCCGCTTGTAGGAAGAGGAGTACCCCACATTCTTCTGCGACGTGATGAAGCGGTCTCTGAAGGAGAAATCAATGAGGTTGGCAATGTTGATGCAGGCAGTGTAGGTCAATCCCCCTCTGTGCCATCTTCGCCCGCGATTAATTCCCCTAGTAGCGCAGCTCCCCCTGTGTCTTCTCCAGCAGACGAGTTCATCGATGAGGGAGAGCAGGGAGGGCCGGAGACAGGGGAGGCAGAGTCGGCGGGTCCGGGAGGGTAGGAGGTAGAGTCGGAGAGTCAGGAAGGGTTGGATGAAGAGTTCGTGGAGCCGGGAGGGCAGGAGGTAGAATCGGAGACACTTCCCCTGCTACGCACGTACCGTCTAATCGTCGTGCGCAGCATGAGCTTGCTAGTTACAACACTGCTGCGAATCAGAATGATGAAGTTAGAAGTGGCAGAACCCGTGCGCAAACTCGGGCCGTAAACCAGCAGAGCGTATCCGGTCTCATGGCCACTC